AATTCAAAAACATAAAAAAAAGAAATTGCAACTAAAAAAAAAAAAAAAAAAAAAAAAAAAAAAAAAAAAAAAAAGAAGAAAGGGATTTGCAGTGCTTCATTTTCATTTACAACGAGAAGCTTATCTAGAATTTAAATAGGAGCAAACTCAAGCACGAAACAAAAGAGCAAAAGTTTAAATAGAATTCAAACTCTTTGTGAAATACAAAAGATTGTAGCAAAATTATGATTTGAGTTTTAGTATAATTTCCAAACAACCCCTTAAAGTGGGAACAAGTCCCTGTACTACGGCTTAGTTTGGGATTAGGAAAAATTATACTTTTACTAACACAAGTCAAAACTTTAAAAATATAACTTCTAAAATAGCTGTAAGAGTGCATTTTTCTCTGAACAAAATACTTGTCAGTACTTCTATTAAATATACTACTTGTATCATGTCAGTGCAAAGAAGTACTTTGAAAGCCTAGTGTTCTTTTCACAACTTCTTTACGTGAGAACTCTTTTATGTCAGAAATTATTGTAGAAAAAAAGTTGAATTTGAATTTTTGTGAGAAAAAATACTGTAATAAAAAACTTAAAGTTGAGTTGTGAAAATAAGCGGCACTTCGGCGCCTGATTGAATAAATTATGCATTAGGCTAATTAACCGAGTTTGTTTTATTATTATTTTGAGATGTGTTTAGGATAATGGAAACTATCCCAAGCTCATTGCAACTTTGCATGCATGAAGAAAGATATACTTGCAAGCACAAAATGCTTATAAGATAAATACCAAATAATACACACACATATACAGGAACAAGTTTTTGAGCTTTGATAGCTCAAATCGAACTTATAAATATATATATATTTTTTTAAAAAGAGTCAAAAAAAGAAACAGAGAATCTACATACCACCGAGGTGAAGCTGATTGCGTTGTATAAACTCTAGGCAATCATTTATTTTGCTGGTTTCGAATTTCGCAAAATGAAGCCTCCCCTGAAGAACTGGACACTTCTTATCGCCATTGGAGACCAATAAACTCTCCTTTGAACAAGACTTTTCCTCGTTATTATCGCCGTTGGAGCACTCGTTGTTTCTTGAGAAATAATCCAACTTTGTCAAAGACCCTGAAAAAAAAAAAAGAATGAATGTAACAGTAGGATTGAAAGAAAGAATTAACACTGATGAACAACCAGAAAAAAAAAAAAAGAAAAAAAAAAGGCAAATCAAAGTCAACGCCGAAAAGATAAAACGAAAAAAGAACATCATGAAAATTGTAACAGAAAATCGAAGATGATGAAGCATTAATTACCTCCGATATCGAGAGCCAAATGAGAAACGTGTTCTTGCGACGGACTTCCGTGATCCATTGAATTTTCTTCCGGGTTGAAATTGAATTCTTCTTTTGGGTCTTCTCTGTTTTGAGGTTTGGTATTTATATATTTAATTTATTTTGTTGAACACCCCTCTCTTTGAATTTTGGTTAAAAACAAAAAAAATAATAATTTATTTTCAGCGTAAAGTCATAAATTATAACAAAGGAATTCAGGGCGTGTTTGGTTACAACGGAGAAATAGTAATGAAAATGAGAATAAAAATAGTAATAGGAATTAAATAAAAAATATAGTTAATTCATTTGTTTGATTGTAATTTTAAGAATTCTTTAGAATGAAACAGGAATATTTTCATGTTGACAAACTTACCCTTATAATATATAAAATATAATATAATATAATGAAATTATTATTATATAATATATTATATAATTATGATATATAATATAATAATATTATTAATATTATTA